TATTTGCTCGTAGTTCAGTTGAGGGCTTTTGTTGGGTTCCCACACCGCTTACCAACGTGCATGAGCAAAGGGGGGGGGGGGGGGGAGATGCATGAGACGTGAGACGAAGCAGAGCCGCCCGCGAGAAGGACAGTCAGATTGATGAGCAAAACAGCTAGGGAACAATGATTCCTTGTTCAAATTTAATCAACAGTAATTAATGGTGCTTGTATAAGAGAGCATTACGCCTTGGTCGAGGGGAACCTTGATGAACTGAAAACCTCGGTGTGCTGTTGTCAAAGAAATGAAAGCCAGCTTGGGTTTGTTTCTGTATCAATCTGGTGTTTCTTCGTGACCTTCCCGGTTGTCTCATAAAAATATTGAAACACCGTTGCACGCCCTCAAAATATCACAACTAAGGAAATTTCCCCCCTCTCCCCTGCCATGTCCCTTGCCTCGGTCTATCCCCCTTGCTGGGCTTGAATCAATCTGACCATCTGTTCCATCTCAGCCCTCAGGGCGTTGTTCTCGCCGGTCAAATCCAGAATGCGCTGTCTCGCCATGTCCAGGGTCCTGGCTTTGTTAATGGTACGTCCCGCGACCGCGGTGTGGTTCTTGTCGTCTTCATCGGGGTGCAGAACAGCATAAAGACTTTCGTATTGCAGGTTGAGCTTGTTGCGATACTTTTTGCCGATCTGGTTGTGCCATAGCCGCACCTCCTTCTGATATGCTTCCAGCGTGGGAAAGTTACTCGGATTCAACTGGCCTTTTGTACGGCCTGGAGTCTCGCTGGGTTTCTTGGAGTTGTTTGTAATCGGGACCTTGGCAGAATTGGTTGGGCTGGGCTTGGTTTGCTTTTTGAGTCCACTGGCAGCGCGGGCCATAGTGACGTTCTTCAATTCGGTGGAGGTCGTGGCTGTGGTGTGTATGCCGCGTCCCCTCTTCTTGGGGTGCGGAGGCGGAAGTAGATGTGGAGGTGGAGATGGACTCCAAGATGTCGTGGAAGAGCCGACGGCAGTCAAGGTGGGCGAGCTATCCGGAGCAGAGCCGGTTGGCGTCTCAAGTGGAATGAAGGTCAGTGAATGGGGACTTCCAACTGATGGTAGCGAGGCGGTCGAGCTGGAGGGCAGATGGGCAGCCACGGCGGTCGTCGAAGGGGATGCCAGACCACCACCAGGTGGTGCCCGCAATCCTTGCTGGAAATGGAAGATGCTGCTTTTGGCTGCATCTGTGGCTGCTGGATCGAGCCAATAGCAAGAGTTGTCTGGTTCGAGAGGGCTTGGGGGAAAAAAAGGATTTCCTGATATCCCGATGCTCTGGTGGTACGGCGGAGGGGTGATGAGATCAAACGGTCCCTGGGGCTGGAGACAGTAGGCATTTTGGAACGTTAACCCTATGCTTGGCGTAGTAGCATCACCAACTGCCGACAGCACTGTCTGTCAAGTCAAGCGATCGTCAGCCAGGGATAAACTCTCTTGATTCGGGTTGGTGTGGTGGCACAGGCTGCGAACTCACCATTGGGCCGCGGCACTCCATGAAACCCTGGCCATGGACGTGGCCATTGCCGGGAACGGTATCCGGATCCCAATCCATTATTCTGATAAATAATATCTTGGATGTTCAGGTGCGGATGGGGCTGTCTAGTAACAGCTGCAACCCGAGAGCATCATCTAGACTGGGCGGGAAACGAGGTGAGTGGAATGTGGTTTGGTTTTGTAATGTCGAGAGTCAAGTTAAGTGGAAAGTATCACTTTTAAGGGATTTGAGCGCTGGCGGACGGGAAGCTGCATACCCGGGAGCAACACTGGCGGGGGGGTTGTTGGTGGCCATTCTCGTCCATTTTCGCGTGCGACCACGAAAACGACAAAAATCTCCCCCGGGTTCAGATGTGCGTGTCTCAAAAAGCAAACACAGCAGTTGTTGGGTCCAATAAGTCGCAAGGCCAAGCCGAAATGGTGCTGTCAGAAATGCCACAAAAATGACCTGTCAGTTTTCGCAACCCGCTCTCAGACTTTTTTCCTCTCAAGGACCCCCTGTTTTTGGTAGGTCCCCGACACCGAGTCCTCGGGAGTGATGAAAGTCGTGGCTCGCAGGCAGGCAACCTGGAAGAGGGAAGATCAGCCAAGTGGCGGGTGTCGTGCCGCGGACCAATGACGGTCGTTGGCACACACTGACCATTTTTTCCCTGGATCCTTGCATGCAGATTGTCTCATAGCGTCAGTTTTTTGCTGGCTGCTCTCTGATAAGAGAGATCTGCGCCTTGCAGAATTGGATTGGGGTTCAGAAAATGAGTGGGAAATTGGTAACCGGTGGTATGTACATGTACATGTACATTACAATAATTAGACCGAGTTCTGGAACCTAAAGTGGGTTTTGAGTTTACTTGGCATGTCTCTTTGACGGCAGTTACAATGACCACAACTGGTTGAACCTTCCACGAGACCCCTGGATGTATTTGTTTCGCACCAAACTTACCTTAAGGTTTTGCCCCCTCTCCTCGTTTGGGTCTCTTAACTTCCCCCCACCATTCATTTCCTGGGTTCGCCGGTCCAGAAATTCGGTTCGTGGTGACGCACACACTTCGGTTCATGTCCGACACCCCGCATATGCAAACGTCTGTTTCCGGGCATCAACCAAGATCAATGTGAATCAGTGATGACCTAAAGTTATCAAGGTAGGTAATGATCAACCCGGAGCATCGAACTTATCAACAGAATTTTACAGTGTTTGAGCTCCTGCAGGTGAGCACGGCCTCAGTCCCGAGCCCTAATTGGCTTCGTTCTTGCCGTCGCCAAACTATTGGACTCAGCCGCATGTCATGACCTCACAGCAAGCATACCGATAATGCTCTCTATTATTAGGTGCTTTCTTTTGTTACTCGTCATTTGTGTTGGTTACATGAATCATGAACACACCGCTCAAGGTCGCTGACTGACAAATCCGTCTGTATCCCGGCAGGCATCAAGGACCCGGACACAGCGCCCGCGGAATGTGAGATGAGCATCAGGGGGGAGCCGCTTCCCGCAGCAGATCCCCCCCGTTCAGGAACTTCGATCCTCTCAACCGATAACCCTACTCAAATTCCACCACACCTGAGTCAGGAGGAACGCATCAGCGAGTTGTGCCGCTCGCCGAGCCGTGTCAGTCTGGACAAAGATTGCCACAGACTCAGGCTTGCCAGGTCTTGCTCTCGCACAGACACAACAAGGAACCGACAAACAATACATACATGTATGCGCCCGGGCTGATGAGCGCAGAGAAGCATGCTGAGACGGAAAAGACACTCCAAACTGTACCCTTTGTATAAACAGCTACCTACATATACCTACAGACCAACGCAGGGCATTACTCGATCTGAAACTCCCTGATAGTCCGTCCCTGTTTCCAATACTCACTGTTCCTGGTGTTCTTTCCGAGGTTATACGCCTCGCGTCTCACAAACCAGGGCCAGACCTTGGCCGCCGACAGAATATCCTCGTAAAAACAATGCCAAGTCGTCACCTTTAACTCCCGTCCATCATGCTCGACCTTCCATTTCGTTGGACAAGACCGACACTTGAAGACCAGCCCCTCCTCGCCGGCATCCAGAGCATCCATGTCCTTTTGCTCCAGGGTTGTCGGTTTCCTGAACTGCCCCTTCTCCCTCTCCTTGTCCTTGTCAGATTTCTTGTCTTTATCAGAAAACGCCTTCAAAATCGTACGAGTGAACAGCGGTCCGTTCAGGTCCCCCTCGCCCTCTTCGCTCCGCTTGCGGGTCGCGAGAAACCTGTTGTTCGGCGACTCCGTGGTGGCTGTTGACTGGTGCGGACAGATCCTCAATGGCAGGCCTAGTACTTCCTCGGGAAGCAAGGCGGCGTGTTGTCGTCGTCCATCATCCAAGGCGCGACCAAACTTGTGCTCGTGCCTCAAGATTAAGTTGTTGCCGCCGTTTCCGGGTACTCTGCTTGCGGAACTGGACAGTTTGTACACCGCTTTGACGGGGTGGCAGAGGGTCTCGAACTCCCCTCCGAGGTAGTCTATCGGCCCCACGTGGTCGGTGGGCACAGTCTCCATGACATGTCGGATGTGGTTCCAGACTAGGCTGTAGCCGGTTTTGTAGTGAGTGCCGAAGGGGAGGTAATCTATTGCTCCGTTGATGCCGAAGCAGCGCTGGGTGTACTTGGTGATTGTGTGGTTCTGTGGGGGTTTGAACGGGGGATGCAGCATGTCGCATTGCTCGCAGTATGTTAGAGGACCGCAGGTACTTATAGAGGAGAAATTCGAGCTTGAACTTGAATCGCTGGAGAGGTATTTCAAGAGTGCTTGCCTGTCGGCGTGGGCGAGCTCCTGCTGGTTGTACTCGGCTTGGGTGCAGCGGCCCTGTAGCCTGCGAGGACGACAGGTCGACCAGGGTGATTTGCCCAGGATTTGAAGAGCACGTTTGCAGGTGAGTGTGAGGCATACTTGGGAAGAGCCCGGGAGGAAGGAGTTGATATGGCGCAGGAGCTCGGCGGGGAGCGTGTCGAGAAGGGGGCAAGTGAGAGCTGCGGGGGTGGAGTTGGGTTGTAAGTAGGAGGGTAAGGGTTTTGGGGTTCTCTTCTTTAGTGGAGGAGGTTCTTCGGGTGCTTTGCGTGGGCGAAGAGCGCGTGAAGTTGAGATTGGCTTTTGGATGCCACCGGTGGTGGTGGACCGGAGGGCTCGGGAGGAGCCTGCGGTTGTAGTTTTTTGTGGCATCGTGGATCGTGGGGGATTAGGGAGTTTTTTCATCAAGTTCGAGAAGTGGAACATACCTTGATGATACCTTAACCTTTCAAGACCAATTCTGGGCAGGGGGCTGTCTTTCCGTCTCCACCCAGACTGCTGCCTGTTGCCAAGAACTATTCATTCCCTATTTCTGATTAGTCAGTTGGGGACATTTCTTCTGCAAAACACCCTGAAGACGCTTTGTTTATGCACAAATAGCACTTCAAAAGACATTTGAAGGTCTTGGAGATGCAAAAATGGATGAGATCCTCCGTTGTGGATCTGATGAGTTTTGATGATGCCCACAGCCAGAATCGAACTGACGACCTTGTCATTATCCGAGAAGGTGGATACTAGTGACACGCTCTACCACTGAGCCATGCGGGCAATGGGTTGGGATGTTTGAGTGTTACTGGTGTTCTGCTGCTTTACAAGCTTATTAATAGGGGTGTAATGGTACTGCCTCGGGAAGTGAAAGGGTTATGTTTGTCTGCTTATACTATCATTTAAGTGCAAAAGAAAATCAAGCCCGACATCCCAGGAAAGAAAGGTGGCCTAGCTTAATTGGTTCCCGAATTACGGATTTCGATGTTGGCGGAATTCGGGGTGACTTGGGCGCAGGGTTTATGGCGGCGTCAGCAAGCACGTTGGTTGACAAAAGGTCTTTGCAGTGCGCTCTTTCCAGTTACTTTGGTACAGTACTAGTGTGACAGCTGTGCTTACCACGAGTGTTTATTTCAATTGTAGTTGGCTCAAATCACACTTCTCCCAACCCGAATCCCGCCATATGGAGTGTCGTTCGACCGAATGCCCTCACGGGCTCCAACAGCAACCATGGGAGGAGGCGAGGCGCAGGCTTTAAAACTGTATTTAAAATGTCTCTGCGCCCTGTTGAGTTGAATCTCAGACAACCTTTTCTTATGGCCTTTTTAAAAGCAAAAAAAATCAAGTGTTAGTCTTGCAAACATAAATCCATCAAGATTCATCTCACATTCAGCAACTCGTATTAGAAACATCGACAGGAAGAATGGCCTCTCACTTTGACTACGACAAAGACATTCCGGATCTTTCGGGAAAGGTCATTCTGGTGACAGGCGGTAGGCTTTTCTCTTTCGAGCTTTGAAAGGCTCTACGAGGCTCATCTCAGACCATCTTTTAGGAACAAACGGCCTCGGCGCACAATCCGTCCTCCACCTAGCCGCCCACAACCCAGCACACATCTACTTCACCGGCAGGAACGCCCAAGCCGCCGCAGCCCTCATCGAGCAAATCACCGCCGCAGGCAGCAGCAGCAGCAAAACCACCGCCCTACACTTCCTCCAGTGCGACCTAGTCAGCCTCGCATCCGTCAAATCGGCCGCACAAACAATCCTGGCCTCCCAATCCCGCCTCGACATAATCCTCGCCAACGCCGGGATAATGAACCACGGCCCAGCTCTAACCGCAGACGGGTTCGAAATCCAGTTCGGCGTCAACTACCTCAGCCACGCCCTGCTCATCAAACTCTTGCTCCCTCTCCTCCTCTCCACCCCCTCATCACCGAGAATCATACTCCTAACCAGCATGGGCTTCCGCGGCGCGCCATCAGGCGGCATCCAATTCGACTCCCTCCGCACCGTCCAACAGTACAACAAATTCCCTCTCATGGGCGGCTTCATCCGCTACGGGCAGAGCAAGCTGGCCGATCTGCTGCTGGCCAAAGAGCTGGCGAAGCGGTATCCTGATATATTGAGCGTGAGCGTGACGCCCGGGATCGTAAACACGGAGTTGGTCAAGAAGCAGAGCGCGTTTCACAGGGGACATATCTGGCTGGCGGCCAAGCTGGGCGGGCAGGGGGGGATTATTGCGCCCGAGGACGGGGCGAAGAGCCAGCTGTGGTGTTTGAGTGTCGGGAGAGAAGAGGTGGTGAATGGGGGGTTTTATGAGCCCGTTGGGAGGCTGAGCGGGATTGAGACCAAGTATACAAGGGATGAAGGGTTGCAGGGGAGGTTGTGGGAGTGGACGGAGGGGGTTTTGAAGGAGTGGATGTAGGATTGGGGAGTTTGGTAACATTTTCTCTTTTCTTTTTTTCTTTTTTTTTCTTTTTTTTTTTTTAGATTGAATAATTATGTACTAGCACTCATAAATGTCAGACTGGTTAATCATGTCGAAGCACCCAATCTCCCTCCCCTTTTCCATTCGTCGGCCTTCTCCATCAGGTTCATCTTGAGCCTATCCATCTGCTTCCACCCCTGTTTCTGGTAATGCATCACCGGACCAGTGTATACGAACGCAGGGTGCGCTGCTGCAATCGGCCAATAACTGCTGAGCGTATTGGAGCGGATGACCAGGTTGGCCCAGACGTCGTCAAAGATGACGGAACCCAGGACTCTGACGGTGTCATCAAATCCGGGGGACGAATCATCTCGTGGCGGACGTTCTCCGTCCGGGTTTAAAGCTTTGGCTACCAGAATGAAGGGCTGAAGGTCTACTTCGTCCACGATGTTCTGTCCCGGCAGTAGCGGTCCTTGCGTGCTGAACTTGACGTATGACTCTATGCAGGATTTATCTGCGACGAGAAAGGCGTCGACTGTTTTGAAGTCCGAGTCTAAACCACCACCGTTCTCTTGCGTAAAGGTATGGAAGTGCCTGGCAAGGGTTGGTTGTCAGTTGTCTGTTTTTCTTTCTGGTCTTGGGATATGTGCTCACCTCTGCGCAGCGTTGATATCACCCTCAGCAATGCCAATCTCGCGACCATCAATCCACTTGATCCTCGCTTTGGGCTTGATATCCGCAGCGCCTGCAACCCCTTCTCCCCACCTCACCACATCGTTTTTGAAGGCCTCGGTGAATGCAGTCCACTCCTCCGCAGACTGGCCATAATAAAGACGGTAAGCGACATACCCCCATCTGGTATAAAGTGGAGGTCGAGGTGGCAGCCCATCTCTCACGGGCGGCAGAGGCTCAAACATGTTCTTCAGGTACGTCACCCAAACTTCCTGACGAATGGGCATCCGCTCGGTCCCTCTCAACTCCTTACGAGCCTCGTCGTGCTCCTTCACCTGGTCGCTACACAGCTTGTGCACCGCCTCAGGGTCACAAGGGTTCAACCGGCCGCTCTGAATGGCCTCATTGTTGTCCATCAGCGCGTTAACAATCGCCATCCGACTCACCCACTTGAGCCTCTTGGAAAACACGCCCAGTCTGATGTCGACATTAGCGGGATACAACCCGATGAGCGAGGTGCTTCCGTTGTAGTTGGTCCAATTCGTCACGGGAGGGTTCGTCAGGTGGCGCCACTGGGGGAGCTCGTTCTTGAACCCCTCGAGGGACACAAAGATGCCCACGTCGGCTCTGCACATGGCCTCGTTGAGCAGGTGCACCTGGTCGAGCATGGCCATCTGCTCCGGACTGTAGGACCTACCCCCGGAGCCAGGCAGTGGGGACGATTGACGAACCCGCACCAGCAAGCTGTCCATAAGCGGCCTGGCATGGTTTGTAACCCAAGCGTGCATCCTCTCCGTGACGAAAACAGCATGAGTAAAGAAAAACTCGGCCCACAAATTCGCGACTTTGGCCGTTGGTCGTCCTCCTCGGGTGCCAGTAGCTCGGTAATGGGCGTCAAGGACTCTGTCAAAGTGCGCCAGGTGGTCGTAGGCCTTGTTATACAGATCGCGCATCTTCCGCTGGGGTAAGGGGTGGCCATAGTACTCAAACGCCTCGATGGCCAAGAACACGCACTGCATGGCCTGTTCCAAATTTTCCAGCTTGTCGAAGCCCTTTTCCCGCCAACGACGGTCCGAGATGGGGGCGAATCCGTCCCAGACGCGAGTCTTTCCGAAGTGGGCCTCGTGGTCGATCGAAGTCATTTGCAGAGACAGGTCGCCGCTCAGGAGGGCCTCAAAGTCAAACATGTCTTCCATGCCGCTCAGGGCGAAGACGAAACGGATGCTGCCCGCCTCGGCGGGGTTTTCGTTGCTGTTGAACGGCGCCGGCGCCCACTGATTGTACGGCGTCGAGAGTTTGCGGAATTCGTCCGGGTGCAGAGTCGGTAGGGTTGTTCTTTGGCCGTTTGGGAGGATTTTCCGTACTAGAAACTCTAGGAAGCGTCCTCCCATTGACTGGGAGATGAAACTGTCTTGGACTAAGATTCTCTGGCCTGAGCGTTGCTGGCCTAGTTGGTTGCCCAGACCGGGTGGAAGGGGTCGTTGTCTGAACATTGTCACGGTTTTTTGGGGTTTTTTTTTTTTTTTTTTTGAGACAGACGATGGAAAGCTGGGTGCTGGTGAATTCTGAAAATTTGAAAATTGGGATCACATGGTGGTTGGGAGAAAGGGGTTTATCATTCTCTACGGAGTAGCAGTGTTTACCTTGGTGATCAGGCAACAGCCCCACAAGGTTCGGGAATTTTGTGGAAATGATGCACGCTAAACAGGGATGTCGCCAGGCTCCCGTGGAGTGGGTTGGGTGATTTTTCGAGTTTCTCATTTCAAGTTTGCCATGATAGGAAGTTATGCAGGTTGGGTGATGGTGGTGGCGCCTCTGTTTGCAAGATGAAATCATGGAATACTGATAAGAAGTCGGCAGGTCACGGATGTGCAGCAAAGGGCCAAACGAAAGCACACTTTCCACTCATATATGCGCTAGCTAAATAAAGCTAGGCTTACTATGGGAGCCAACGATACGACAGGATGAAGTCAGGCGGGTCGCCATGGATTGAATGGCGCGCAAGATATATAATGTGCGATGAAGGGGACAAAGAAGCATTTAATTCAGAGAAGAATGTTGAAGATGGGGTAAAAGTACGAGTGTAATTGAGCAAGCCATCATTTTCGTGTATATGTTTGCATGTAATTCCAAACCAAAAGAGCTGTATAACTCTGAACTGCTCCTCTTGCTCCCACAACTCACTACGACAGATGCCCACATCTGCAAATCTTCCGTAGTATAGTGGTTAGTATATGAGCTTGTCATCCAACAACGCTCGGGACCCGGGTTCAATTCCCGGCGGGAGAGAATCAAATCACAGATCTTTTTTGTGCCCGGTAACGACCATGCTGTGACTGTTGCTTTTTGGAAAAGCCCCAGCTTCATGGACGAATATTTACAACTCCCGAAGGTCAAAATACGGCAATGTCAATGTCAGAGGATGACCGAGGCGCGCACATGCCACCAAGCAGCTTGTTTAATGTGTTTAGCCTATTTTACTCCTCGTCGACAGACCTCAGCTGCGTGTGGGCTGCATCCCCGGATTCTCTGCCGTGCCCCCTCAAATATCACGGGAAACCCCATTAGTCAATTTCAAATTGGCGAGGCCATGGCGAGACATTCTGATGTTCCAGGCCGTGTGAGACCCATACTTTTGTCGTTGGGCCAATGAAGGCCAAGAAATCAAGGCGAAGAAAAGG